ATTTCATTATATTTGACATTCTGGTCATAGGTATAGTGAAAGATGTCTGCGCAAAACGGATGCATGCGCGCACCTAAAGAATATAAATTAGAACGGACGCACCAAAAACCCATAGATCTATCTTCAGAATCTAATAAGGGCGCCGCTATCACTTGTTTCCTTTTATTAAGATTCAAAATCGTTTGATTTTCTGATATTTTAAATTAGTTCCACTTTCAGACGTCGTCGTATTTATGTTTGCGATTGTCATTCAATGTATTCGTTTGCATCATTTGCTTGTTATTTTGTTATTGATTGTGATGGTTGAGTTAACTAGAGTTGATTGTGTGTTTGTTTTTTAAGTTTATAATCCTTTGTAGAGTATTTACATCAACTTGATTCACTAAATTTGGAACCATGATTTTTGGTCAGTACAGTATTTTCTGAAATAAACTGAGATTATGCGTGGACTATATAATTGTAAGATATTGTATAGCATTATCTGAAGTAAAAAGGCAGGCAAAGCTGTCGTTAATAGTTATAAAGGAAAGATTTTTTGGAAATTCTACAAAAATATTTATATGGAAGAAGAAGAAGAAGGATTTATTATATAGGTAAGACATACATTTATTGAGAGCGTTTGTAGAATTAATACAGGGACAGAGACATTTCGTTTTATTTATGGCCTGTCTAATTGTTATAACATAGTCAGTCAACACAGATATCCCCAGTTTAATATTCAACGTACGGAGCCAGGGAAATCGTCCTGAATAGTTTCCTATGGACAAACGCAGGCGGTTAATCAATAATTGTAGGTGTCGATTCGATTACATTTATACACAAAAATATAAATTAACATTACAACACCACTGTTCGTTCGTGTTGTGGAAATTTGAAAGAAAGTAGTGAACTTTTGGGAGTCTAATTCAATTATATACATACACGTTAATTTAATAGACATTATAATTAATATATCAATTTAATTATGAATCATATTTTTTACATAATCGTAAGTTATTCGAGCTTTGCTTTACCTAATAATAGGAGCCTAGGAACGTGCGAGCCGAAGGTGCGAATTAATACAGAATTTGAAAGTGATGCTTATCACCAAGATGTTCCCTGCACTCCCGTGATACAAACTGTATTTTCTTCTGCAGATGAAATGGATTAAAGTACCATATCAGGTGTATCTTCGATTCCATTATTCCCTTCATCAAATAAACAGTCTTCTTTCAGTCTCTAAACTACACCAACTATCAGTCGAGGACATTACATTACAATTACGAGGGTCAAACTGAAAGTTCTTAGAAAATCAAAAACTGATTACATTAGCCAGTTATTAGTTTTATTATATCTTTTCAAAATATTGTCCATTCACGTCAATACACCGCTGCATGCGATGGAACCACTGGGAAAAGCACTTTGCCCACTCGTCCTTAGGGGTCTCTTCAATGGCATCGCGATACGCAGCCACCGCTTCTTCAGCATTCATAAACCGCTTTCCTTTAAGTTTTTCTTTAATTTTTGGAAATAAATAAAAATCACAAGGCGCGAGGTCGGGGCTATACGGCGGGTGACCCAGTAATTCAACGTTTGATGTCGCCAAATAGTCGATCGTTCGCTTGGCGGTGTGCGACGAGGCGTTGTCGTGGTGAAGGAGGATCCTACTGCGAGGTCGTTTCTCTCGAACTTTTTCCAAGACAAGTGGCAAACAATTGGTAGTGTACCATTCTGCAGAAACTGTTTTTTGATCCTCTAACACAATTGTTGCAAAATGACCTATCCTTCCAAAGAACGAGGCCACCATTTTTTTTCCCGCACTTCGATCTCTCTTCACTTTAGTTGGCAACTCCTCGAAAGGAAACACCCACTGAGCAGATTGTCTTTTGGTTTTAGGATCATAACAGTAAATCCAGCTTTCGTCACCTGTTAGTATGTCGAACACAGCATTTGAGTCACCTCCGTTAAATCTTTCAATCATTTTACGACACCAATCCACACGATGGAATTTTTGAGCCTCAGTCAAATTATGAGGTATCCACCGGGCGCAAAGCTTCCTGACCGCTAAATGTTCGTGGAGGATTTTGTGCACTTGACTCATACCGATGCCTAAGCTTGTCCGAATCTGTTGATAGGTCACTCTTTTGTCAGTCTCTATCATACGCCGCACAACACAGATGTTATCTTCAGTCGTCGCCGTAGAAGGCCGTCCCTCACGTAAATCATCAGTGAGATTAGTGCGACCACGTTTAAACTCATTAAACCAGTTGTAAACAGTCGCACGAGATGGGGCTTCATCGTGAAAGGCCAATCGTAGTCTATCATAACTTTCTTGTTGACTTAAATGACATCGAAAGTCATAAAAAATCATTGCACGAAAATTTTCTCGTGTTAAATTCATGATGACGTGACACAGACAATTTTCAATTTGCCGCTAAATCGTAAAACAAATGACAAATGAATGAAATATATACTCAGTAATATTGGCAAAGAGTTATATTTTCAAATTTTAGAATTATTTTTTTATTATATTGTTTATAAGTGGCCAGTTCTAAGAACTTTCAGTTTGACCCTCGTATTATATTTTGATTAATTTTGCATTCACAATGACATATTGAAAATTATTCTTAATACAAAATGCTTAAAGAATCCACTTGGTCCCTGGCACCCTGAGATGGGAAATGAACCCACGATTAATGCAAAAGTGTTACCTTTATTTTTCACAGATAAGTTAATTTATTAATAAATACATATTAGATAACATCAAATACATTGCTCAGATTCCAAGAAGAGTGGGAAAGCCCCCGTACTATGAAATAGGTATCTGAGATAACAAAGGTACTACAACACTAAGACTCGAGACAATATCGAAAATTAGTAACTGATTAAAACAACCGTGAAATTGGGCGACGTAATTGAATGGCGCCAATCAATTTCACGGCTAGCTTCCTAGTTAAATCGTTATAACATTGGACCATTTAACAAGACGACTGATTTAAGTCGCCGAAACGTTAATTTAGTATATTCCTTCGCCAGCTACCTTTACCTACCTTTGCTTTGTTTACAAATATTTATTCGACCAGTGTTGCCAGAATGTAACATTTTATGTTACTTTTGACCCTATCGTGTTACCAATATGTTTCAAGACTCAAAATGTTACTTTGCCGTTTACAAACAATCTCTTTCAGAATTACAAGTCAATTATTATATAAATATAACTCACCATTATTTCCAACCATAACCTATTGGTAATAACTATTTGAATGTAACAATATTAAATATATTGTTTATTTTAGTGAAATTGACGTCACTGTTTCGCTTTGTACAAATGATGTCTGTATTTTTTATCACATTATGTATGTTGTGTTTTTTTGTAAGCGGAGACAAAATATATTGACAGTGTTATAGTAATATGATTAGCTATAAAAGTGATGCAAGAGATTTTTTTTTAAATCTCGAAGAAAAGTAGAATATAAGAAATTGGACAGCGAGGTAATTGTATTTTAATATCACGAACTTTTTGTTATTGCGTGCGAATCAACGAATGAATACTGTTTCAAAGTTAGTACAGACATAGTTAAGATATTATTACTTGTAATACGATAGTACCGAAATAGTTATCATTACTCAATATACAAAATAAGGCACTTGTTACCAACAGTTATACATAGGTACTAGAATAAATACCTTAAAGTTTACAAAGACTATAGTTTACTTTCCGGATCTTTTAAAAAACCGTGTGCCAATGCAGGGGCTTGATGTAATATCTAATACCGAAAACAAAATGCTAGGGTGACCATGATCAATATTTCAATGCCCAATAAATTACCTAGCCGTTGCTTATTTGACCACTTGTCTGCGTTTTGTATTATATACCTTATTGTACGTGAAACAGAAAATTTCCAAAAATTCAGTTGTACGTAAGTAGTCTGAATTCCAATTAGTGCAAGGGTTTAAAATATTCCACTGAACGAAATTAAAGACGTTACGAAATTTCAACACTAAAAATGAACTTAAAAACGTCATAAACCAATTTTGTTAAATCATTTGATGTATCTTAGTGAGTAGCCGTTCTGATTGGAAGTTTCAATTAATAAAATTAATTAAATCAAACAGTGCCTAAATGAGATGTGCTCTTTTTCATCGGAAGGAAAATTAAACTCCGAACATAAGCTAAAAATCAATAACTTAGTTCCGAAAAGTTAGTCACGGGACTTTGTAACTGGCCGTGCAGTATCAATCCCTCAAATAAAAGACTACACAGACCCATATGTATTTCCAAGCTTTAAAGGTTAAACATGATCTGTCGCACAGTAATATTTTATAAAGTGATAGTTTTAACTTCAGTTTACTTTTCCTTTATTTCGCCAGACAGCTTATTCTAGTTCAGGCATGTGATGTTATTATTCGCTATAAATATTTTTAGCTCGTAATATCATGTGTATAGGATAAGAAATACAATAAATTTATGATTATTATTATTTAAAATAATAAACTAAAAATATTTTTTTTATATTACATTTAAGGTCTCATTCCTGCAGTATCTACTTCTATAATTTAATATATAAAAAAATCTATGTAAATTAGTTAAATATTATATGAAAGTCTCACTTAACAAAATATTATTGTCATCCTAATACGAGTAGAATGAGACAAAAACTAGGTACCTACATATCTCGCTCGGCTCACTTTTCAGCTGAGAGTGCTCGATCGGGTCCTGTTTGTAACTATATTACGGCCATGGGTTAAATTACGTATTCTATGATAATAACACGTTATCAAACCACGGTCTCATCGTCTCATGTTAAAATTGTTGAAAAAATAAAAAGTCATGCATTGGTTCTTAAATGTTATGGAAAGCCTATATTCAATCTGATTCAGCAATATAATACAATAAATCTGTGTTCGATAATGTTCAACATACTTATTGAGTTCTTATGGTCAACCAACTCACGGTTCCTAAACGAATTTTAATCAAAAATAATTTCCGAACGACCATTCGCCTCGTCTATGGCGGGCGGATGTCAGCTGTCATTTACGCACGCTCGCGCACGTCACGGTTTTCGTAAAATAGAAATCGTGAGAATTTTCTAATATTTACTGTTGAACACGATTTACTTTGATCGTTAAACTATGTTGATATAATACTATCTTGTTTTGTCTTGTAATAGTGTGTAGTGTTTAATTTACAATGGCTAACAATCGTATTCCTTCTGGCCCCAACACTCCTGGTAGCCAACAAACGCCTACACAGCAAGGGATTAAAATATTTATACAAAGGGACTATTCTGACGGGACAGCAGTGAAGTTCCAGACAAGATTCCCTCCAGAATTGGAGGACAGAGTGAGTGAAAGTTGTTCGTCCAGGGCGTTTGTTTATCTGATGTCATATTGTACTTTGACAGTAGATTATTAGTTATATTCGTGGCCTTCGACGTGATAGGTAGACAAATATTAAGCTTTTTTTAGTTAAATGTTTGCATTACAACGATAATGATAGTTTGTAACCTTTAAGTTGAAATAAAAAGTTGTTTCTTCCAAACCAAACAATGACCTAGTTCTTGTTAACTAACACTTTTTATTGTAAACAGAACTAATTTAACAGTGATCCATAATGATTTGAAGGCACAGATGCTTTTGTGAAAATAATTATACTTTATTTTTTAATTTGTATAATTCCCTATCTATTATTATTTCTCTGCAGTTATAAGGATTTTAAAATAATAATAACTTTGAAGCAATACTAATCATTATTAAATTAAAGAGATATTTACTGTTTTTGTACTTATAAAGTTCTACTGTAAGCATATTAGAATTTGACTTATTTAATTCATATTTTTTGCCTATACAAAAAAGTATATTTTCCCAAAATAAGAGGGTGCATCTCACATTAGTGTTTGGAATATTTATTTTTTAATACCAACAAGAATAAGACATTAGTAATGAAGTTAATTTTTTGTTTTAAACTTAACTTTGTTTGAACCTACATAATAATTAACACATAATTATATTAATCATTATTATATCACTAGTTGTGTTATGGCAATTTATTTTAAAACACTGTCATTATTGGGAACTAAGGAATTTATCTCAAGTTGTGGAAAGTTGATAATATATAAGATAACTGGAAACCTAAAACTGTATAGCAGTAACCAAATCAATCAATTTTGAAGGTGATTCAAGCTGATTTTGCAATTTTTCTAAGAGCGCTCAAACTTTGTATTTCTTTAAGCTTCAAATCTAACTTTGAAAACAGAGAAAAAAATTGTAAAACAATTATCCTTCAAATAAATAGCATATTGATAATATTCTAAGAGGTCATCAATCTTTTTGTTATAAAATAATCATTAAATACTCTATTTTTGTCTATGCAATGGTGGTACTTAATAAAGGTGATTATTATATAATAGACTTACTGTCATTGTACAAACATGCATTAAGGTCCAATTATGACTTTAAGCTCTAACAAATGTTCTAAATTCGAAAATTTGTATGGGTAATGTAGCTTTAAACTAATTTCAATATTAATCAATGTTTGTGCAACTATTTGATAAGTCACTAAATGTGAATGTCATACATGACACCAGTGTGTGAGACATGTAAAAACAATACAAAGAGTTAGTTTTTATCAATTTTTTTAAGTGATTTATGATGTTATCTTGACTTTAGTTGACAAATATAATCATGAGTATTGATTGTAAGAGTAGAGTTAGGGTATCGTGAGTCTTATACTCAGTTTGATAATAACATTTTTTTTTGTGATTTGCTAGTATTTCATTAACAGCAAAATTAATATGCATAATTGGATATTTTAAATTATTGACTTATTAACTATTATACCTTTGATTATAAAATTAAATCATACATAAATAATTTTTCTACATTGACCCAAATAAGTATTGAACCTCATAAACTGCAACACCTTTAAATCTAGCAACTAGGACATTGCAAGTCATCATATAATTAAAGCAGTAGATTTACAATAACCAAAATTTTTTTCAGACTCAAGTTCTTTGTAATACTTCATTGTAGTCTCTATCAATCTTATTATCAGGACTCAGAAGTATGTCACATTATTTCCAGAATTAAGGAAATTCTAAAATACTACAAGATGTCATGTCAAAGCTACTTATTTGTGTACTCTTCACACAAAATTTTATACAATTTATTATTTCTCTGTATTCCAGATTGACCGACAGACTTTTGAGTACACAATGGAACGGCTAAATGAGCATTTTGAGATGGCAGAATCAGCTGACTGTAGCACATACTGTGAGGGATGCCTTGCTTGTCTGACTGCTTACTTTATATATATCTGTACAGAGACACACTACGAAAAGGTATGAAAGCATTGTTAAAGTTAGGGTGTGTGCAAATCTGCTGGAAGATGCATCAAACATCTCACGGAAGTATGCATTGGTACATGATGGAGCATCCAAATTAATTGTCATTACTCATATAATTGTCAGTTCTGACTAGGGTTGCCAACATTTCTTTATTAAAATATAGTGTTTTTAAGAATTAGCAATGAAAATACAGTACACTTAAAAAAAAATACTACCTTTCACCCATCAAATTCTACAGGAACGAACATGAACTAGGACTAATAATGCCCTGAGATAGAAAGTATAAATGTAATAAAATTATATTTTATTCAAATATTAATTCAATAGTATATTGAAAGCACTTTTATTCATTTATTTTCTTCCTGCCACCAATTCAAGACATCTTTTGACTGACATAAAAAACCAGTGAAAGAAACTTAACCAAAAGTTCGTGTGGATAGCGGCGCAATCATGGTGGCACTCAATGATCGCCCGTCATGGGCAATAGTGTAGAGGGCCTATTAAGCACTTCAAAAACAAAGAATTGTTTTGTTATATTGTCCTTGTGGAGCGTCCTTTTGGTATAATTCTATAAACATAAATGGTTCATTATAGATCTTCTTCAGCTACGCCATTTTAGCATTGATTACAAACACCGTATCGTAAAAATGACATAATAACGAACTGAGTTAAATATCTTTCTTCCTTTGATAATTTTCCCAATAACCGACACAGTGGCAATCATGCACGATTATCGCCGATCATGGGCCGTAGTGTGGAGCCGGTGTTAGATTTCGGTATTGAAAATATAGTATTTTTGCGTACTATATATATTTTTCCAACAGTATGTACGTAGTCCCAAAATATAGTTCTATACTATATATTATAGTATGGTTGGCAACCCTAGTTGTGACCTTCCTTAACTGAGGAAACGCTACGCATCTTCCATTAGATATGCAATGACCTGTATAGTGACTGATACTGTACATTTAACTTGCTTCAGTTTCATTTGAATGATCGTCATCATCAGCTCTTTTATAACCCCACTGCAGGGGTTAAGGCCTTTCTTATGGATGTAAATTAGCACTTAATCTAAAAACAGAACATGAAATATCAAAACAAGTTTATGATAAATTCCTTTGGGAATGAGGGATCACTGATCCCTCTGGAATGAATTAGTTTGGAAATATGTAGGTAATAAAATATTTAAAGTTTGAATTAGATTCCTGGAAAGTTATTAAACCACTTTGTGCTAATCTCAATAATCTTTTAGGTTATAATTTGAAAGGAAATTGCATAGTATTACATCATTGAATAATACAATAAATAAGATGTGAAGTAGAAGTGTGGTAATTTTCTTGTAGTACAATAAAGATATTCACTTACCTAAAAAGTAATTGCTATTGACATTATCCTTAAAATTGCTTATTGTTCATTCATTTTTTTTTTATTAGATAAACAATTCAATGTCTCAGACATTTCATTCAATGTACAATCAAGGACAGATTTATATATCGGATGTGCTTGTGTCAAATTTATCTACTTAATTTTTAACCATTAATCCCTTTATAGAAGAGTTCGAAATCAATTGCGTTGACATTATTGCGGGAACCCGACTTGATGTGTGTATTAATTAAATAGATTATTAGATAATATCGTAACATTATCAACTGCAAAATAAAGTAAAACATAGAAATTGTAATTAAAGATGAATATAAATAGCTGTAGTCCTTATGTTTAAGCAATAAGAATTCTTATTAACAACCTCCGTAGCCGAGTGGTTCGCAAGCCGGTGTAAGGTGTCGCCACCTCTAAGGTCCCGGGTTCGATTCCCTGTGGGATCAACGTAGAAAATGAACTTTTTTTTATATTGTTTCGGGTCTGGGTGTTGTGTTACCTTCATTGTCTCAGATGCTCCATAATAAGGGGGCTTTAGCTACTTATCTTGGTATCTGAGCAATGTATGTAGACAACCTCACGTCTAATATTATTTGTCTAATAAAAAAGGGAAATATTATCATTATTATTAAGCATTCACAATATATCTTTACAAGCATTAATTTTCACTTTGTTTTTTATTTCACAGCACCTCAGAAAAGTATCGAAATTCATAACGACGCAGAACGAACGTATCTACAATCCAAGAGGTATTCACATAACAGACCCTATTCTCAGAGGGTTAAGGGTCATTGAAATTACCGTTATTGACGTACCAAATTGCCAGAGTCCAACTGGCAACTCTACAAACACTATGAGACATACCTGACCACCCCATGATAGCAGGGAGTTCTTCATGTAACAATCACGTTATTGGTTTTAAAAACCATAAAGATAATAGATTAATAAATGTGGTGATAACCACTAAATGAAGTAATGAACTGTGTGGAGTGTTTAAGACTAGTCTATGGCAAGTGAGTGAACATTTTAGACAGAGTTAATTATCTTTAGATAGAACACGTTTTGAAAGTAGGAATTTGTGTCAGAAAAGGAAGGGTGATACAGTGAGTGAGATAGCGTTTCCATAGTACACTCTGTAAAATTTGTTTTGTCTGTTATTTAATTTATTATGTCAATTTAAAAGGTTTTAGCAAGATATAATATATATGAAACTGTCTCTGTTTATATGTAAATGTATTAATGAAATGCCATTTTGAATAACTTTTGTAGTTATTTGACGAAACGAAAAAATTGATAGTTGTTTATAATTTGAGAAAAGTGTAATAATTAATTATAATTACAATAAAAGTAACCAACCTAAATGTAAGTTTTGTAACTGTTTTAAAGTATTCGGAGTAGTTTTTGATACGATTTTATTTATTTATCATATGAACATTTTTTTAGAGAGATGTAGCATCAATCAATGTGATTTAAGATTTTGGTCAAATAATATTAAGCTGTATTTTGACTATCAACAAAATGTATTTTATTTCACACTTAAGATTCATTGTAGTTTTAGTATAACTTGACTGATTTTAAGTTATATGAAAAGAACTCCCTTAGCCAAAATTTTCTTCCAAGCTCAGAAGAATTATTATGTAGCATTTAGACTTAAGCGGTTTTGGTATAACTACCACTGTGATTCATGGAATTTATGATTTCGGGTAAACCTTTACATTAATTCAATAACGATATCGAAAATCAACCTTACACCTTTACTATTCAGCTCAAATTTACATAACAATTTAATGTGGAAATAAGCATAGGCCGCTTCTGGGCTATATTTAGCTGGATGTAAGATTGATATTTCAACATTATAGATTTGCCCCATTCCCGGTCACCGGTCAGTCGTATTATTAACCAAAAAAAAATTGTTTTAATTTTAATAACTTTAGATATTTGATTGTTTCAAATTACATTTTCAATTATTTTAGTTCTGAATTGCGTAATTTTCTAAAATTATTTTTAATTAATTTGTTTTTATTTTTTGCAATCACAAAACATAAAATGTTATTCTTCATACATTCTTCAAAGTACAGTCAACAGCACGTCAGACTATTACGAAACTACCAAACTACACTTTATTTTAGTTAATGCATTGAAGCGTTCAAAATCAATTGAAGAAATTTGACTTTTTGTGATAGCCTAGCGTGCAGCCATCTACACATGACTTATTAATTACATGACCTCATTACTTCATTAGTTTTGACGGTCTAGAGATGGCGTTTGTGTATAAATGAAACTATAGGTACATTATATGTTATTACCTAATTAATTATAAGTTTTGCGAGTATGATACAATTAAATTAGTATTGTAATCAAGTAATCTTCTCAGTTATATTAGTATTTTGTCAATGTCAACTAAATATTTCAGAATAGTAAAAAAAACTACTAATATGTCCTGCCGATATACCTGCGCAGAAGGCAAAATTTTGAAAATCTTTTTGAAATAAAATTCATTATAAAACATAAATTAACACCATTTTTTGATCGCCAAATGTAACAAAATGTTATCGTATCACTTCAATCTCATCTCAAAAGGAAGTTTTATATTCAAATTTTTGAAAATATAAATTTCAATGAATTGTCTTAAACAAATTTCATAGAGAAACTTTCACCACCACGGAATTCTTCAAAATTTCCTGTAATTTTGATAAACTTTCTAAAGCTATTAATAATATAAATGATCGGATATAGTTCTGGAACTGGAACTGGATTCGAAAAATTTTGTCGATTCCTCAATAACCTCAATACGCCGAAAAATACCGCTTGGCTTTTTCATCCGTCTAATGTTTTTGTTACTCAATGATCTCAATAAATAGATGATCTACTGTAAAGACAGGCTATTAAGGCCACCATTCAGAACCTCTGCAGTGTTACCTTGTAACAGAAGCGTTGATTAGTCTGTCAGGTAACGCTCAGCAGATCAATCAAATTGGTCTATGATTTTACAAACGAATCCTTGAACAGATCAAAATCATCATGATCATTTAGGTCAAAATTTTGTCAAATAAATCATACGGTTTCAGTCTCGAGGTAGGACTCCAGAGCTTCTGAATGATGGTAATTTCATAGCCTAGAGGTCTGAAATAAATATTAGATAACATCACGTAGATTGATCCCACAGGCTAAGTAAATCACTTGTGTTATAGAAAACAGGAAAAAAAATTGGTACGACACAGATTAGACAATATAGAAACTTTTTTAGATTTATCAGTCATATAAATATGCTCACCTTTCAATATATCAAGGATTAAAATCAGTAATTATGATTTTAAAGTGGGCTTTATGCATTTATTATTTAGGTGAAATTTTTAACATTAAATTCTCGTTATGTACTCGTTCTTACCATTAAATTAAACCAGAAACATCGTTTAATTATAGTTGAGATTAAAGTTTCGTGGAACTAGCTATTTGATATCTGGCTTAATCAAATATCTAAAGTTTTTTACTCTAAAAACCTTTATTCTGAATTACATTGATATTTGTATAAGAAATTTATTATGATGCTTGCGAAGGTATACAATAGCATTATTTTTTTAAATATTTGTCTGTCTTACAGTCAGTTGCACAAACCTCCATTAAGGGTTAATAGCGCCTTTAAGCTCTAATAGATGTCAAATTTGTATGGGTAATATGGCTTAAAACTATTGAAAGTTTTAATAGACGTTTTTGCAGCTGGCTGTAATAAGATTTGGTATGTATTATTTCAAATTCTAAAAACAATATATGAAGTATAGGGTTTTTGATTATGTATCTATGTTGAAAACAAACATTCAAAGACTGGTTTGTAATTATAAAGTCCTTTTAGTAAAAAAAATGACTTTAACGCACTGCAAATTGGTCTAATTTTATTTACCGCCTCTCACTTAAGTATAAATAATAAATTACAAAGTATTGTTGATGCTATAAAAAAGATGAAAGTCTAGTGTTGATATATTGTTTGACCATATGGGTTAACAGTTTGTAGTATTTGTATATAAGGAAGCATGTAAATCTAGCGTTTGAGGCAAAATTAACAATAATACATATCTCATGGCATTTATGTTTTTATTTGTTAGATGAATTTCACCTGTCATCGTAGAGTCTAAAGTTCATTTTGCCTCGTCAAACGCGTCACTGTAATATTACTTGCCATTCTGTAATTTTTAGTCTTCTACCTGTCTGTTGTGGATCGTAACAATGCATAATTTGTATATTAACACAAAACCTATACAAAAATGTATTTAAACCAGCTATTTCGAATTTGCTTGCTCTGGGCGCAATCATTTCGCGAGAATTATAACCACAGGCTTTGGAGCTACCAAACAAAAATGGTTCGTACGCCTCATCTTATCGAGACACATTTTTTTTTTATTGACGAATAATTGCTTTTCGTTAACATAAATGCCTCGAGAAGATGTACAGATAAGATAGAAATCTACCGATGGGCGGAAAACCTAATGTCAGTGAGCACAAATCGTTTCGTTTTGATCTTTGTTCAGAACTGATAATTTCGATTCTAATAATCCACAAGAAAATACTCTAAAAATGTTTTTGAGCTCTGAGTTTCACAAGCTAGCAACGAAACTGCGCGTGCGTCTTTAACGCGACTCTTGCCCAGTGTTTTTATTTATATAATTAGAAAGATCAACAGATATTGTTTGTATATTTTGTATACTACCGACTTACATTTGTGAAATTTGATAAAAATGTGCTAAGTGCCTATAGCGTAATGGCTAGGTACATGTTAAGAAAAATCGACATTAATATGCATGAAATAGATATCTGAACTTTGTTGGTTACTAAATAGAAAATCGATAAGTTCGATTTTTTAACCGACTTCGAAAAGGATGAGGCTCTCGATCAGATGTATGTTTTTTTGTGTTTGTTACGCGATTACTACACCAATTATGAATCGATTTAAATAATTATTTTTATTTATTATTTGATCTGGAAGTCAAATGAAAAAAAGTTCGAGCGCTGAACTATTTGGGAATATTTTTTATGGGTATTGGTTATAAAACATTCATCATACAGGCAGGTAAAACCGTGGGACACAGCTAGTTGTAATAATAAACCGCTAATTCTTTTTAATTGTACTTTCAACATGTAATGGACGCGTACTTCAATAAATTGTGCTTATTACTAATATAAACTTATTGAAGTAGGCGCCAACTTTGAAGTCGAATATGTTGTATTAACGACGGTTGAAAGATGAATTGACCTCATCTTGAGTTATACAGAAAATATGTTTTTACTTTAAACAAATATTAGTTTAAAGTGTTTTGGGTAAAATTTTATCACTATATTAAACAGTGTACGTAGATAGATTTTGAAGATTTTAGATGTCTTCTGTTTTTAATTTCGTAAAATGTCGCTGTCGCTTTTTTTTTAAAATGGTTAAACTGGACATGGTCTGTGAAGCAGATGACAGTTATTCGAGTTAAACGACAATAGTTATATGAAATAAAACTCTGTTATTACTAGAAAATAGATTAAACGATAGCAAACCGACACCAGGCCTTTCAACCGTCGTATATTGAATGTATTTATAAACCCAATGACCGAATGCTCCACAAAAATTATGTGAGGTAGGTATCCGTGTTCTTGTGATTATTTTAAACGATATAAGTGTAATAATATGACATTAGTAAAAGTTTTCTTTACGTAAATGAAAGTGTTTATAACGCGTCATGGACATGTCTAAATTTTAATTATAAATTATAATTACCTACTTAATTGTTTATTGTTCATATTTTAGATTTAAAAATATCATTTCCTTTACATAAACAAAGTGTTTTTTTCACGAATGTGTATATATTAATATGAATAATTGTGAAATATGTAAAGTTAAAAGTTGGATGTATCACTTGTTAATATAATATTGAGTGTAATGTAAACTACGTAATTGTATGTATAAAATGCACAGAACTATTATATGAAAAAAGATTGATATTAGATTTAATACGAGAAAATAATAAAAACTTAATTTTAAAATGTTTTGTTTTACTAATTCTTAGAAGTAAATCGATATAGATTAAATTGTAAAAAATATTATGACCCGTATTAAATATTTGGAATTATATAGTTTTTTTTTTATTAATTATCAAATCAATCGCGTGCTGTTCGAAGATAATGTGAGAAGTCATTAAAACCGGCGAGCACTTATGTATGAAAAGATTAACAAATGTTATAATTAATAATTGGATCAAAAAAAAACTATCGCCAACACGCCTGGTTAAACGAACTCAAAATTATCCAACAAAATATGAAACTATTACGTTAATAGTACCTAGAGTTCAAAGTTCATCGCAGCTTAAATATGAATATTAATTTAAGTTGCATTCTGCCATTGTAGAGTATGTTTACCACGAAAAAATAAACGAAAGATACAATAATTAGAAAAATATGTGCATTTCACGATAGGTATGTACACTATTTTAATATTAGAAATAAAAATAACGGTGCCTGTAACGAGACTGCAAAAAGTTAATCATTTATTCAGGTGTCTTTCGTGTGCGCTTTACAATAACATCCTAAGCAAAATGCAACAATTAGATATAATGCAGTTTAAATCTACTACTTAAAAAACTATTAAAAAACTTATTATAAGGTATCTGATTATATAACAGATAAGAAATGCAACTGGATAAAGTCATTTCTTCTAAACTCATACATTATTATATTATCATTATAAGATAACAGTTTTTTTCTCTTTTTCTAATTGATCTGGTAATGACATAGTTTTGTAAATGTCGTTACTCCCATTAGAGCTGGTGAATTCATTGCTTGTTCTTCTTATCAACCAAAAGACGTCCGGATCGAGTGGTAGAGTAAAGATGTTGGACGATTCAAAAGTAGTTTTCAGTCTATTTGAATAAAGATTATTTTTATTTTGATTTATGACTATAAGGAGCTCAATGACGCAGTGGCTACCCAGATAGCAATTTCAACTTGTTTCTGACTTGCAACAAGTTTGATACATAAAAAAGAAGACTTGCTTCAAGTTTGCCATGACAACTGCAGCAACTTGCAGCAAGGTTAAATCAAATTTTCTAGTTACAGTGTGACAAACTTGCACTACACTTGACGTATCAAAGGTAGTGCAAGTGTACTGACTCGAACAAATAGCAGGTACTCGCGTACTTGAGTACCTGAAATACAGGCTTCGAGGCAAATATTACTTTAAGTTTACTAAGCTTTAATTAAAATATTTTGATCATTCAAAAATT